TATGAGTTTATATAATTTTACTCTTATATTCACTACAAAATAGATGAAACTAGTGATGGAGAATTTCTATGTTAAATTAATCACTTATGATAAGTAATAAGAAAAAAGATTTAAATCTAAGAAAAAGTTAAGTTTAAAAGACTTGGTATAAATCAACTTTCTATTTGATTAGATACAACAACTAAAACAAAAATGTATTTTTAAAATGTGAATCTTTTAAAGGAAATGAATAGTATATCACCAAATAAAGAAAAGAAAACAGAGATTAAAGAACATACAACGTGATGACTCATTGCTTGATTTCTGAAGAATACAAGAATAACATTTATCATCCTCTTCACTGTTGTGAATGTCCTTCTTCCCGCATATGGTTGAGTTGTGTTGAGAATGATTGAATGAGAGGCGCCGCTAAAACATGATTTTATATAGGAGAGACGGGGGACTAGGGTTTTCTAAAAGTTGTTACAAACTTTGTTAAAATCTGTTTTGCTCCTAACTTTAATATACACTAGTATAAGTACCCTGATGATGCGCGTTGAATATTAACTATTTTTATTTAGATTTTTATATGTGTACTTGAGTCTCGTTCCACATATTTCTACACTAATATTTAATATTTTTTTCCTTGTTTATTATTTTCATATTATATTTATTATTTTGTATCATTGCACAGCTTATTAGCGATTTATTAACATTCGACTCGATTTTTATTATCATTCATGACTTTCCTTTTCATATCTAGATAGATTCTTTGTTACGATGCAACCTATCGAGTCGTGTGGGCATATACTCAAACACCTAGGTAGAAGATCAACTGCCACGGTCCAAAAATGAACGTGGTAACCCTCGTCTTATCACTCCAAGACAAATTAGCTTAAAACCCAAATCATATGACAGAAAAGCGGAAATAAAGACATCAAAGACATAAATGCGGATAACTTAGCCAATCTCATAGAATACCCCAAAACCTGATTGTCACATGTACAAGCCCACTAGTGTGATACAACTAAATTAAAAGAAAATACAAGTCTCAAATGTTTTTGTTTCCAAAGTAGAACAAGAACATAATAAACGAACGAGAGGGTCGTCTCAAATGTTTTTGTTTCCACAGTAGAGGAAGAACATAATAAACGAAAGAGAGGGTCCACTGAGATGACAAGTCGCTATCTTTCAAGTATCCACAAAAGAACCTCAGACGAAGTAGAGAAGAAGAAGAGTATCACGATGATCCGAGCTCAAGTGTAGAAGAAAGGAGTGAGTACCAAACAACACGATACTTAGCAAGCTAGCTACTAACATAAGGTAAAGTAAAATAGAATACGAGTACTCCTTTCATACCCAAAGAAACCTCTACAATCTACAACCCTGCATAAAAATCAACCTAACCTAACAATTCACAATCTCAAGTAGTACATAATTCAGAAGTAACACCTCAACATTTATAGATAGAAAATAATCAAGAATAAGTTCATAAATTAAGTTCTCCACAATTTCCACTCCACATGAAAAAGAACAAAGAGAATAACTCAAGTCGCACTTCAACATAATCAGTCTATCATCATAACATTCCACAATTAAGAGTCTCAACAACATAGAAATCAACAATCATAATAAATGAAGTTCGATGCCAAGTTGTGCAATGTCATGTAGAGTGATGCATGTCTGTCTTATTATACACATCCACTGAACCTCAGACCGGAATCCATTGGGAATGCACAAGGTCCGTGTACCCATCGGAATAACCCTCATCATCAAACTCACCCGCCGGAAGAAACCTCAGCATCCTTGCCATCCGCCGAAAAAGACCTCGGCATAATCACAATAGACCTCATCATAATATTTAAGAAACAATCCAAATAGACATGTTCACACCATGATGAGGAGATGACAATTCTATAGAAATCACAATCACAACAACGCAATCATAGTGTTTCACTGATAACGAACCAATATTACCACTTAAATCATTCATCATATACCACACAACAATTACCAACACATTACCTCTTCATTATTCCCCTTTTTCATCATTAAGATTAAACAATATGAACAATTCAGTCCATCAGCGATTCTCAATACTCCCAACACATACAACAAGGAAAATACAAGATTCTATAAATTTTATCAAGGTCTAGAAGTTCACTTGCCTCAATTTAGTTAATCAATTACTCCAAAATATGAGTCTTTCCTCTTCTTCAGGTCTCTGAATCAACACAAGCTATTCAAATTCACAAAAAGAATTCAGAACTATCAACACCCATATCAATATTTTGGAAAACGGGGTCTAAATGACCCAAAAACCCAATTCCAGAAATAAGGGGGTAAATCTAGTATTTAACATAAAATTGTGTTACCCAACATATTTGTAAGTCAACAAAGAAACCCATTTCAAAAATGGAGTTGAATTCATTCTTAAACCACCATTTTGTTTTTGGGAAAAGGGTTCAAAACACACCCAAACTATGGGCAAAATTATTGTTACACGTATGAACTTTGCGGGAATCCTATGACCCCCCTGACTTATTTTTAGTATATTTTTATGGGTATTATTTGCTTAGTCAATCCAGCAAGTCACTCAAACGTACAAGAGGCGCGTGAGGATGGTCTTAAAATTACTATAACCTATATTTATTCGCCACGTAGCAATTAACTTATGACTTTTTTTTTCATTAAATATTACAATGTAGTTGTTGTTCTTCGTCAAAAACCTCCATTAAAGACACATTTCCCACTTTGAAAGCTCATCTTTGAAGAGGTAAGCTTTGATTTTATTAAATATTGTTTATATTTGTGTTTAGGGCTTCTAATTTGTTGTCCAATTTTTCTGTATAAAAATTAGGGTTAGCTATGGAAGAGGTAAAAATGGATTTGAACAAGATTTGTACAGACAATGAAGATCCGATGTTGATTTCGGAGGTGCGATGCAGTCATGGTCTGTTGCTCCCTTTGAAGACTTCTTGGTCCGACAACAACCCCGGAAGAAGATTTTGGTCTTGCCCATATTATGGTGCAAGAAAGTGTAATTTCTTTCGATGGAGGGATGGTTTGATTGATGAAAGATCTAAGTTCATTATTCCAAAATTGGTGAAGAAAATTAAGGAAATGGACAAACAATTAATGTCAAAGGTAAAAACAGTGAAGAAGAAGAAAGAAATGGCTCATTGCAATGATAGTGAAATTGTCGAGATGATGGAAAATTCAATTGTGATGGACCTTGAAGGAGAATATGCCCTAAGCATGAAGAAAAAGAAGGACAATCCTTGAAGGCGAATCTGCCCTAAGTGTGAAGAAAAAGAAGGACAAGGAAGAAGATTTTGATTTCCATGATTGTGAAGAGTTGATAAAAAATGCAGCAGAGAAGTCGATGGAAGTGAAGAAGAAAGGGACCAACTACTCTAACTTCATTAGGAATTTCATAATGTTTCTGTTAATGTGTTTTGCTATATGGATCAATTGGTTAATGCAAGTTGAAGACTTAAAGACTTGTCATGATCAATTGCCATAGTAGTTGTTGTATTTTTCTAGTTGAAGTCTTTTGTGATGAAAAATTTGATTTTCTTGAATGATATTTGGTATGTTTATGGTTAAGTTGTTTCAGTTATTGAATTGGTAAACATGTTATTGAAATCAATCAGAAATTGATAAAATGAAACATTTCTTCATATAAAACAAATGCATCATAAGTTCATGTACCAAAAGACTTACATCAACATAAGTTCATAACTTCACAAAAACAACCATCTTAAACTTCTTAAGTTTGTTTGCCAACCCAACTATTAACATCTTATCAATACCAAAAAAATAACCACCTTCACATATTGTCAAAAAATACCAACGTGTTAGCACTATTTCCATGCTTTCTTAGGTTGGGAAGAAGATAAGTTTTTCCTTTTGTTCACCCTCATCTCTTCAAGCTGTGACTGCTGTTTTACCCTTCCACCTTACTCTAATCCTTGGTTTGTAACCAAGGTCTCCAGTAACATCAGCTGACTTTATAGGCTTTTTTGAACCAGTGTGTATTATCCTACTACTTGTCAAGCCATGCTATACACAAAGAAAGATAGTTAGTAAACTACATTTAGAACATAAAACTTTACCATATTTTTTCAACACTTACATTATATGCAGTAAACCCATCTTCAGCAACAAACACACCCATCCCAACTGTCTTAGGCCTTTTAGCAGGTGGTTCAACTGGTGCATCATATGAAGTTGGTGCATTGGAGTTTCTTGCACTAGATTGAGAAGCAACATATGGAGTAGGTGCAACAGGTAATTGATAACTAGTTGGATTTTCAAACCACTCAGCAAATGAAGTCCTTCTCGGCATAGGGATTGTCATACCATTAAGAGGTGTCTTTCTTGGCCTTCATCTGCCTCTTCCAGGTTCTTGATCAACTTCATAAGTAGATGCTGTCTTTTTTCCCCTTCCAGTGGCTTTATGAGGTGCTTCAATAGTAGGTGTTGCATTTTTCCCCTTCCCATGCCTCTTGGAGGTGCTTGAACAACTTCATAAGTAGATGCTGCCTTTTTTTCCCTTTCAGTGGCTCTTGGAGGTGCTTCAGTAGTAGTTGTTTCTTTTATTGGCCTTCCCCTGCCTCTTAGAGGTGCTTCAGTAGTGGTTGTTTCTTTTCTTGGTCTTCCCCTACCTCTTGGATGTGCTTCAGTAGTAGTTGTTTGCTTTCTTGGCCTTCCCCTACATCTTCGAGGTGCTTCAGTAGTAGTTGTTTGCTTTCTTGGCCTTCCCCTACCTCTTGGAGGTGTTTCACTAACAACAGTTGTCTTGGCCTTCCTTTGGCCTTGCTTGGGCCAGCATGATCCTACAAAATTTTAAAACAATCACATTATGGTCAAGCAGTCACAAATTTAAAACAAAAAATCACAAAATTATATAAATACAACCTTTAAAGGACAACCTCTCTTGTTATGATTTTTACCATGACAAATGCTACAAGTCATGTAAACTCCCTTTCTTGACAACTTGCCACATGTTTTTGTTTCCCCTGCCTCTCTTCTCCTGACTTTTCCTGGTCTGCCTGGCATTGACTTAAAAACTGGTGGTTGAACATGAGGGTTTGTGGACTCAAGCCACATTTTCATATTGGTGACTGGTTGGAGGAAATGACAATAAGTTCTCAGATAAGTCTCCTTACTGTAGCAGTTATCAACAAAGTCAATTGGTTCTTACTTCTTATAATATATGGCAGCTATGGCATGTGGGCAAGGTATTCCCTTGAGTATCCAGGCCCTACAAGTGCAAGTTTTACTTCTAATATCAACAGTATGTTGATATGGTCCATCATTAATTTCAAATCCTTTCTCTCCATTGAACTCAATATTACATCTCATTGACTTTTCTATATTTTTCTCCAGTACCCTCAATGCCATTGGAGATATATTGGTTAACCATGTATTTGGAAATTGACTGAATTGACCTATTCTAGTCATTACCTTCACTCTTATCTCTTCAAGCATGGTGATGATGGTTTTATGCCTTGGTCCTAAGATCGAAGCATTAAAACTCTAAGACATATTATTGTCTATACTATCACACTTGATATCTGTTCTAAAGTACATTTTACACCAAGTTTGCACCTTGTAATAGAGTAAATCTTCAACCATCTTTTTGGTGCCTAACAACTCCAGCAGTGCCAGATTTGCCTTCATCTCTCTTTCAAATGTGCTTTTTACACATTTCCAGAACTGATTTCTTCTTTGAAGACCTCTCCAATTTTTTGCCCAATTAGCAAGGATGTGTCTTGCACACATCTTGTGCTCCACCTCTGGTAAAAGATCCTTCAATGCTGAGTCAAGACCCTGAAAATGACAAGTCACAGTGGTATATAATATTGAATACAAAAAAACTAGATGAAGAAAAGTAAAGTAAATGATCTTACATTTTGCATGTCTGATATAATTGTGTAATCTTTCCCATCACCCAATTCCAAATCATGTATCAACAGTTTTAAAACCATGTCCAGGTGTTCTTATTCTCATACCTTTTGCATGTCTGATATAATTGTGTAATCTTTCCCATCACCCAATTCCAAATCATGTATCAACAGTTTTAAAACCATGTCCAGGTGTTCTTATTCTCATACCTTTTGCATGTCTGATATAATTGTGTAATCTTTCCCATCACCCAATTCCAAATCATGTATCAACAGTTTTAAAACCATGTCCAGGTGTTCTTATTCTCATACCTTTTGCATGTCTGATATAATTGTGTAATCTTTCCCATCACCCAATTCCAAATCATGTATCAACAGTTTTAAAACCATGTCCAGGTGTTCTTATTCTCATACCTTTTGCATGTCTGATATAATTGTGTAATCTTTCCCATCACCCAATTCCAAATCATGTATCAACAGTTTTAAAACCATGTCCAGGTGTTCTTATTCTCATACCTTTTGCATGTCTGATATAATTGTGTAATCTTTCCCATCACCCAATTCCAAATCATGTATCAACAGTTTTAAAACCATGTCCAGGTGTTCTTATTCTCATACTCTACTACACCCCCAAGCAATAGGTAACATCTGATTATTGCCATCTTTAGCCACATCACACAACAGTTGTCCTTTAGTTACTCCCTTCAAAAAGCAACCATCTAAGACAATACATTTTCTACAGCCACCTAAAAAGGATTTCTTTAAAGCATCAAAACAAATATAAAAACTCTGAAATACCATCCTACCACTCCCTTCAAAATCATCAACCTTCACAACACAAGTACTCACAGGATTGGTCCTCAACATCTCATCAATCAAGTATTCTTCCAAACTCTAACACATGATCACCCATAATGCATTTAAGTATTTTTCCCTCTAGCTCTCCTAGCAATGGTTTTTCCAACACGAATTTTCAACTCTTTCCTAATCAACTCCTGAAATTTGAAGATCCTAATATTTGGTTGTTCAACAATTCTATACCAGTAATGTTTAGCCAAGAACCTAGCATTGCACATGTAATTTCTAGTGGTCTTGACACATTTGTGTTTAGGAATGTAGGTTTTAATTATAAAATTATTGCTTGACTTGTCAAGACTTGCATACAACATCCAGGGACAACCTTCTCTACACCTAACACTAACCTTTTTGGGCTCATTGATATACTTTTCCAACTGAACACCCTTTTGAAGAGAATATTTGGTAACAGCCTCTCTAAACTCTTTTACATCCTCAAAAACCATCCCCAGCTGCCATACCACTTTTTCAGCAGACTTATCAAAAATCACCCTTCTACTTGAACTTCTTGATCCTATCTCATCATTTGTATCTGTCTCAACACTAAATGCATCAAAACTACAATATACAGGCTCATCACCAACAACTTTACCTTTCAAGCTTTTATCAACAACATCAGTTTCATCAAATCCCAAATCAGGACCAGCTTCACCAACATGAATTTCTTCAAGAGTCATTTGGTATTCTTTCTTTTCTTTTCCTTCTCTGGTATGTCCTTCTTTCATCCCTCAAGTTTATGCACTTTTCATGGACATCACTATCATATTTAGCTTCACCTTCATTGAAAAGATCTTCATAGTCTGATTCGAAAATGTTTTCTGTTGAATATTCAGACTCCAATTAGCCAAAAGTTTCAGTATTTATTGGTTGTGAAGCTGGTTGAGAAGATGAAGTAGTTTCAGTGGTTGGTGGTTCAGTAAATGCAGTTGGTTCAATTGTTGGTTTGGTAAAATGAACACCATCACCCCCTTCTTCAACACCTATATCCCCTTCTTCAACACCCCTTTTTGTTTTTTTATTAAAAGTACCCAAAGATTCCTCATTGGGACCAGTTTATTCCAATAAAGCAATGAGACCATCCATTTGATCAACCATGTGACAAACATAAACTTCAATAGTATCTCCATATTGAAAAACTTGACAAAGTTCAAAAATGTCCCTGTCACTTTGGATATCTACAAGACAATTACTATTAGGTGGCCTAATATAAAATGTGCAGCTTGTAGTGTACCCTAGTTCTTTTATGTAGCCTATTAGTTCAAAATAGGACATTCGATCCATATCAACATCCAAATATTCAGTAATTTTACCTCCTACATACACTGGTTTACGATTACTAACATCCAGAACCCCACCATGATACCATCTTAATGTTACCTCTACAAACCCACTCATCCCTGAAATTATACAATAATAACAGTAATAAATAAATAGAAATATAATGAAAATTTGATAAGTGAGTATACGCAACCATACATGGTAGAAAATTAAATATTTTGGGGGAAAAGGAACTACAAGACAGTCACCTACGAATAAACCCTAGTAGCGACAAAATTATCCATCAAAATTCAACTACGAATAAACCCTAGTAACGAGAAATCATAGCATTTCATATAATGTAATCTAACTAATTTTTCCTTAAAGATAATTGACAAACAACAAGATTTACCTGGTAATTTTAGGAAACCTAGCAATCTAGGTTGTAGTGAAATCGTCAATTGATCAAAAGGTTGAATCTGAAAATCTAAAGTACACACCCACCAAGATGCAAGCAACAACTTTGAATCAGTTGATTCAAAGTGAAAATTTTGTGTGATTTGTGAGAAAGAAAAGATGAAAAGTCGCTGAGTTTTCCCCCCTTTTCTAAATTCGCTAAGTGTGATTGAGATATTTGTGAACGCGCGGGTAGGTAAGCGCTTACGTTTGAGTGACTTGTTGGAATGACTAAGCAAATAATACCTATAAAAATATACTAAAAATAAGTCTAGGGGTCATAGGACCCTTGCAAACTTTATGTGTAACAACAATTTTGCCCATAGTTTGGGTGTGTTTTGAACCCTTTTCCCTTCTTTTTTTATAAATACAAGTTCTTGCAAAAACTTTCAAAGTTTGGATTAAAATCAAGGACTTACCATCAAAATCAAGTAATAATTAGCGGATAGAAGTAATGGAGAGTAGAAAATCGTTACCAAATTGAAGATTATCGAAATATTCTTTAAAATCACCTTACCCGAGCTCCCAATTTTGAAAATGGACATATGGGGATGAAACCCCAACTTTTGGAAAAAAAGGCATATTGTTCTGGCAAAGTTCACTCTTCGCGATCGCGACACCCAGGCCTCACAATCACGATTGGTTAACTGGGTTAATTCACTTAAGTTGACCATCATGACCGCGACAGGGACACACGCAATCGCGATGACCAAGAAACTAGACTTACGCGATCGTGCCCAACTTCACGATGCACAAACCAATTAACCTTACGCGATCGAGAGATAGGGTCTCGCGATCTCGAAGAACAAATCATGTTGCACCAAAAACTCAAAAATCAACAATAACACATAAGGCATAAAATTCACCGAATGTACTCACGAGATTTGTTCAGAACTCCGAGCACACAAATCATATATTCTACTCAAGTAAACTCGATATTCAGGATTCAATGAAACCTTAGTAAATGTAGTTTTAGAACG